TATCTAATAAACGTCCCCCCTTACGCTCTTAAGTTTGTATTAAACGCCCCTCTCTAATATATATAAAAAAAAATTGCTCCAAAATACCGAGAAATGGTGAAAAATCAATCAATTTATTAATTTCATTTTTTAATTAACATCGGTTTGGGTATTATGTTGTGTTTAATTTCAAGTTCAAAGTAAGGATAAGCCGTCAGCCCGCAGTCGAGATTCTGTTAACACAAAAAGGTTTTTGGCCGAAAGCATACTGTGTACAATTTTGTTGAGTTCGTTAAAATAAGTAACAAGAATAAACGCCTCCCATCTGTTAAACGCCCGGGGCGTTTATTAGATGATTTACAGTACCTTTTTAAGTTTTATCGACGAGCTAATTTGTTAAATCAGTTCAAATTTTTTACCATGTTTAAAACACTGTCATCTTGATTTTTCTTTATGCCCTGAAAGGTCGACGTAATTAATGTTATGTATATTAGTGAACAACGGGGGCCAGTCTAACCATCATAGATACTGGACATAAGTTTCCATTTGGCAAACTTTAACAAAATAGATTTTTTTTACATCTGCAATGTGGTACAAAGATGGCGTCTACTTATTATCCGATAAAGTACCTTGCAACCTTCTGACTCCCACTTGTCTCTCTCTTCCGACCAATACAAACAACTTGACTGGGTAATGGCCATTGTATAGTTTACATCTGTAGATGGGTCGTACTGTGGAATAACTGTTCTGGTGACTCCTTTTGGTGGTGGATCTTTAAAACCAACACAGGCGCGCTTCTGTCGGCCATGGCCGAAGCATGATCTCTTTTGTCTGGGGTTTTCGTTTTTGGTTTTATTTCCTACTAAAAGTATTCCAACATAAAGAGGACTTGCACTTGGTGGCACCACTGTCATGGAGGACTCATCAGGAAGGCAGGATGAAAGGTTCTGCATGCCGCTTGTGTGGTTTCCACACGATGATGTGAACGGGTTTGTAAAGTTGTGGTCAAAGCTGTCTATTGTCGGTCTGGATCCAAATTTCACAAAGACTTTAACAAGAAATAAACCCTTTTCCACCACTGCCATATTAATTGAAACGGGGACGTCTGCCAGTTGTGCGTTATAAGAACGGATTGACATTTTGTCTGGCTTAAGAAAAGAATGTTCTGTTGGACTACTAGTATTTGTATTTTGCTCGGCTGGGCTGCTTATTGGAATGACCATCACAATGTCATCATCAAGGTTCGACACATTGATCTTCCGGTTGCCATTTTGTAACTCGAGGCCGATAACATTTGATTGGATGGCCTTGCTGCTATTGTTCCAGGTATAAGGGTTAAATTTAACAGCCGTCATCTGCAATTGTAACAAGAATAAAGGGGTTAGTTTCAAAAGAACATTGTCATGAAGGAGCCAGCAGGGACCAAAATTTGGCTACCTAATTGGGATAGCGATAGACCATTGTGAATAATTAGTCCTGGCCAGTCAGAAGTGAAGAAATATTAGGAATAACTAACAAAATCAAGGCTGTTTCTCTCATATTTTGACATTGAGCTAAATGTGACCAAAACAAATAAAAACATATGAAAGTGGCAACGGACCTAGAGTATACAAAAGGACAACACTTTTTTTTAAAGTGGCTCTTATCTGCCTTGTTACCTTTGCATTGATGTCCCCAGTACCCATATTTCCAAGATTTCCGGGCAACTCAAACTTTGTTGGTCCTTCTTCCATACTTAGACCCTTAACATCATCAGGGGAGACCTTCTTTAGAGCTAGCGAGAGATCATCTGTTTTAATTACTAAATTTTCTGACCGCACCAAGCGGCCAAAAAACGCATCACTCATGTTTTGCAGGTTTTGAGAAGCTTGTTCGACGTTATTCTACATATAGAAGTTGAAAGAAGTTGATAAATACCAGTTTAAGACAATTCTCTGCGTACGACTTAGCGTAAATCCGAGCGTATATCCCAGCGTATATATCTCACAACTGACGGGGGAAGGGCTGGAATAGTGAGTGACTTCTTTAGGGGAGTGATTAACACTGGAGCATTGTCCCTTTCTCGAAAGTCCTGTAACTTTTCGGGTCCGGAGTGATATATTAGCGAACATCATTGAGAACTTAATCATGTATCTGCAAAACTAGTGAGACTTGGGTCCTGACATAGCAGCTTTCCGGGCAAGGTAATTATCGGAAATTTCGAGAAATGGGCTCAATGTGGATTAAACCTCGACCAGGAACAACCAACGAGGTGAACAAGTACAATGGCAGTATGGTGCATAACGATTTGGTGCGTTTTCATGGTGCCATGCAAGCTAATACTTGGTCAGAAAAGAAAACTGATATGAAACAGGCGTACGGGCCCGAAGGTCATCCCGGGCCTTTAAAGTATCCTATTCTGATTGTCCCTTCTTTAAAATCGTTGCACGTAAGATCAATCAGAGTTAGCCATATTTTTCTACCTTTGAAGACGAGGAATCCCCCGAAGTCGATCCAGCATCTTGACTTGCTCCTTTCATAACGTTCCTCAAGCAACTTGCGACACTTGTGGCTCTTTCCTCTAATTCAGGAGTGAAAGGTTCCTCTGGGTCGTTCAAGGCCTTGGCAAGTGTTGATGTTGCACTTTCGGACATTTTAAGTGCCATTTCCTACAACAAATTGATAATCATGTTCATTTTTTGACAGCGATGGGTTTTCCAACGTTCTTTAACTCACAACAAATACTGGTTAATTATTTCCCTTTACTTTTCTTGCTGCTTTTTATCACTAACATTTACAGCTGTAGAGCACCATGAGGCAACCTCAATTGCCACGGGAATACACATCATTAAATTTCAGTTTGTAAATAATATTGAGAAGAGGGACAAGGCCAGATTATTTGCCGATTGACCTTCTATATCGTGATTTTTGCCATTCCTCAACAGATTGATTCTTTTCCATGTAAGCCGCCAATCTGCTTCAGCCGGTCAGTTACACTGATTTGTGTCTTTCGTTCTTTATTCCACTTAATATATATATATATATATTTTTTCTCATTAAATTATAAGCGTTTTATCTCATCTGAGTAAATAAATGGAGGACAGAAAAAATATCTAGAGAAAAAAAAAAGACACGAACATACCGTCAATCATATAACGGGGTCAGGACCCAAGGCAGATGGATTGGTCTCTGAATGGAAGGTTTGGAAGATTAGGGGGTGGATTTATGAACCCAGAAGTTGATAGATATATAAAAAGAAATGTGTGGTACCAAAGCTTTAGCTCCGTCTCCTCCTTCCACAGTTGCCTCATTAATTACACCTAATATGACATCAGACATCTTGCCACTCGCTGGTTTTATTGCTGAGAACTTCTCGGTGATGGTGTCTGATATCTAGGTAGATCAAGAAAAGCAGTCTTATGATAGCCATTACAGAACCCGAACCAATGACTTTCTGTCATCATTTTTGGCGAGCATTCATGAACCTAAAGTTTTATAGTATTGGTAATCTGTTGGTTTTTTTAGTCAGATTCAACATCAGGTGCCCAGGAGGTACCAAGAAAACGACAAAGACAAAACACTTTACTAACATCCATTAAGTGCGCTTAAGATAGTCTTGCATTCGGAGTCGCTTTCTCTTCAACTAAGCTTTCATCGTAAGAGTGCAAGAGTGCAAATTCTCGGTCTCGGAGAAAGGGTAGCCATTGAATCCCGATCCGCATCCCAAGAACTTAATAAAATAAGCATCCAACAATGGTGGAGTCCGAGTTGAATAAAGTTTTAACAAGAAGGCCTCCTTTAAAATGAAATTGCTTAGTAAATTTAAATGTACTAACCTGTGTTATTGTAATCAAACTTAACCCCTGTCCGCAAACTGACTTTGCCTTGGCAGTTTTAAGTACCGACAGCGCCAGCTGTGCTCCCTGGTTGATTTCACCTTTATTCAGAAGTCCGTCTAGCTTGCATTCCTCCCAGACTACAAGGCTTTTTAACTGCTCGCCCACTTCTTCTGGTGGTGTGAAACATGGGTCAAACTTGGAAGATCTCATGACCTGATTAAAAAACAAAAACACCTTTCGTAAGCTGTATATCTGGGACTCGCTTTTCTCTCCCTTAAAGACTGTACGGGCGTATGTATACATGTGCGTAAGGAAGTACGCTAACGTCAGGACCAAAACATCCCGCAAAGACAGGTTGCCAGTTTTTCTTACTCATAGTGCTCCGCTATAGAAATCAATCATGGAGGAAAGGTGCCATGGGAATTTAAATCACACGTTTACCTCCCTGCTTGCAAACCTTTTTCTGCAGCGTATTTTTAAAATCGATTATCCACAAAAAAGTATGGGACTAGAATAACGTGATATTCTTATGTCTTTTTTTCTTTCAAACAGTATTCGCGAACGTATACGCTTCAATTTGAAATATAAACGTTACCTTGACAAATGCCGTTTCCTTAACCGCTACACCAATGGAGTTCTTTATAATGATGTTTATTTGTAGCTGATAATCACTTTCTGGTTGTCCGGCAGCTAACACTGTAGGTCTAGACTTAGGAGACCTTCCATACGATATTATGTCCTTTCCAACACGGAATTCGTAAGTTATTGGAGCATTTTTGTCTTCCCATTCAAAGCATTCAAACGTAAACTCCGTCTCAAGCGCCACACCCTCGTTGATTGACTTCGCGCAAAACCCACCGTGTGGAACTCCGGCGGTCTCGAGCTCCAGGACTCCAAACCCTTCTGAACCTGCTTGAGATGTTACCGAGAGTTGTAAACTGAAGTAGAAACCAGAGGGCAAAGAATTTTTCTTGATGATCATGTCAGTGGCATTTACTACTGTGGATGTCATATTAGGCAAAATAGATATATTCTCCCAGGGATCTGCCTCCTCCTTTCTTTGCTTTAGACGCCACTCATAAACTGAACCATTGCATGCTGAATTGGGACACTCCGAAGTCACGCGGAGCTTGCTTGTAGCAGACACTACTTTACCGCAATCAATAAAGCATCTGGAGATGAAAAGAATATAGAGATTACTTCATAGAAAGTGGGACGAATCTATTCTATCACAATGTAGAAACAGGGCAACAGTCCACACTCAGAACACAAGACGAATTCGCAAAGACAATGACTATTTCATTCGCTACTGTCTTATAACGGCTTCTTTTCGTCCTTCAATTTTTGCCTCTTTAAACTGAAAAAGGTTGTTTTAGTAACAGTAGAGTACAATACAGTTTAAACCTTTAGTCAGTAATTATGTTATCAAGGTGTTGCATTGGCGACTACACAGTCAACCAATGCAGCAAAACCACTCTTATCTCGCGTAGACCACTTTGCTTCCTCAATAGAGACATTTAATAGTTCAGCGATATTTATCCAAAGATTCCGTTGGTATGGACACCTTGACTTCGCCTGCAGCATCTAGTGTTTGGACAACGGGAAACATGACCAATATTTTTAACAATTAGCCCCTGATCCTTACCGTTGTGTTTTCGATGATACACCAGTCACTTCCGTTTTTAACATAAGCTGAGCCTAGTGTTGCCGCTCCCAATGTTGCCTGTATTCCAATATTGCATGTTTTTTCGATATTTTGTTGAGGACAAATGGTTTAGAAATCCATGGAAGCCCAGATGATCCCTACATTTAGCTTGTTTCATGTTATTACTTTGTTTTGCTTTGGGGATTTTCGGAATCTTCTTTAAAACCTTCTTACCTCTGAAATGGGGAAATGGTTCCGGCTTTTTGAGACTAGAAGGTGTAATTTGTGTTACAGAAACTTGGCGATATGTTTCCCCGGTTCATTTTGGTTACCATGAAAACGTACAGTTGTATATGAAACCATTTCAGGTCAAGATGAAATGCAACTGTTTTCAGCCGACCATATTGCAGAAATTCCGCGAAAAGTAGTAGAAATGGCCAATCTTTTTTTTCAGAAATGTCAAAAGACTTCAAGATGTTTCTTTGGGAGATGTGTATGGTGGCCTAGGAGTGCCATAAGAAAATTGTGTAGTATCTTGTAAGCTCCCCGTAATTTATTATGTTATTTTATTTTATTTTTAAACTTTAAACGAAAAAAAAATTTATCGAGATACTTTAAATCAAATTTAAACGAAAAAAATAGAAAGTAAAGTAAAATAATTTATAAGCAAAAGTAAAATGAAACGAAAATAATATTTCCTTGGCCTAGCAGTGCCATAAGGTTTTTCTAAAAAAAAAAAAATGTTGTTCATGGCCTATCGATGCCAGAGCCCACAATGCTCTTCGCTGATCTTTTGCGTGGCTCCTAAGCGATGTTTGCATGATATCTCTGTTTCAATCATGTCGGGTAAACGTAAGCAATGGGAAGACTACAAGGAGCGCCAAGGAAAGAGACGGGTAGGTGCAAAGAGCGATAAAGCTAGCCCCAGTGCATCTGAAGGCTTCTTGACTGTGCAGAGACTATCGGCAAACGTTCAAGGAAAGGGCCAAAAGTACAACCGCATTGGCCCTTTAACCCTCGTGCCGTTCGACAAAGAACCAACTTTCAAGAATATCAAAGATGCCTGTAAGTCGCATTTTGGAACAAATTGCGAATGTGATGTTCTCTCGGGCGAACGAGGGCCCTCTTACACGCATGAAAGTCAGATCAAAGACTGGTCGAAGGTCATTCATATCAGATTTCTGGAATATGAAAAGTGGCAAAAAGCCGAGGAGCCAGTCTTCGTCCGGCCATTACATAAAAGTGAGCCAGTTAGCCCACGAAAGTGCGATAGTGCGGCGACAGCTGTCACAAAATCGTCTGTAATACCGCGTTCTGTCTCTCTTAGTCAAATGTTGAAAGTGAGCCAGCTTATAGAACTATGCACTGGGGCTAGCTTTATCGCTCTTTGCACCTATCCGTTTCTTTCCTTGGCGCTCCTTGTAGTCGTCCCATTGCTTACGTTTACCCGACATGATTGAAACAGAGAAATCATGCAAACATCGCTTAGGAGCCACGCAAAAGATCAGCGAAGTGCATTGTGGGCTCTGGCATCGATAGGCCATGAACAAATTTTTTTTTTTTTAGAAAAACCTTATGGCACTGCTAGGCCAAGGAATATTATTTTCGTTTCATTTTACTTTTGCTTAAAAATTATTTTACATTACTTTCTATTTTTTTCGTTTAAATTTGATGTAAAGTATCTCGATAATAATTTTTTTTTCGTTTAAAGTTTAAAAATAAAATGAAATAACATAATAAATTACGGGGAACTTACAAGATACTACACAATTTTCTTGTGGCACTCCTAGGCCACCATAGATGTGTCACACAGCTAGGTGAAAGGTTCCGTGTCAGGCCTTTCTTTCTCCTCCCCCCCTCTCCCCTTCGTCGTTTAAAATGTCTACTCCCTTAACCCTAAAGAAGGCCTGATACACAGGCTATCATATACCTCAGTCCATATCATGCTAAGCTAGTTTTCAGTGTGTTCCATACTTGCAGCTCTTACCTTATTACCACTTGCGGTACTTCCCCGTAAGCTATTTCAAATTTCATTTCAGCAAAAGCACTTCTTGTATCTTTGGAAACAGTCAACTTTAGAACATAAGAATTTCCACGTAAGAGTTTTTCTGTATTGATAGTTATAGCTGTGGTGTTGGCGTTTTCGTTCGCAAATGCACCGAAGCAGCTATAGCTGATTGAATTATGTAATGAACAAGACCAAGTAAAATTAAGGCCAGTATGGGTTCCAGGACCAATATCTCCATCGTAACTGAGCGAGCCGTCCACCGTAACATTTTCTGGTGACCCCCATCGAACACTGCTCCCACCGTCAATTATTGCAATTATTGGGCCAGGGATGCTTTGAATGAAACCATAATCAAACGCCTGGAGAGTCTGCGGAGCGGCTGGATCACCAATCTTGACTGACACAGTGAATTTGATTTGATAGATACCCGAGGGTATGATTCTTCTATTTATGGTCCACTCAGCGCTTCCTTGACTTACCAAGGTTCCCTCTACTGACTCCGAAGCTACCAGTTCTGCTTCGCTTAGTAGACGCCATTGCAATGCGCTTTCCAAAATAGAAACGCCTTTAGGTAAACCTTGAATCATGGCTTCTTGGACGCTCTTGGCAGCCCGATTGATTGTAGTAGGATGATTTTTGTCCTTGGAGATGTTTCTAATTATCACTGAAAACTCTCCTGTTGAAAATCGCACAGCGCTTATATTAATAACCATAAAAAGAGCCTTTCTCTGGCGAAGGGGTATTTATTAAATAACGGAGGAGTTTTCAGAACTTGTGATCAAGAACAATATAAAGCGTTCTCCTGTTCTTCAAGAATTGAACAGAGAAATAATAGCCACATTTTAATCTGTAAACATAACAAAGAAGTTATCGTTTGGTAAACTTATACTGACAGGCAATATTGGGTGCTACACTCATTCTTTAACCCTTTAGGTGCCAATAGTGACTAACATCAATTTTCTTCTAACAATATCCATCCGTTGTCAAGAAATAAAGTTATGAGAATTGATAAAATGATCCCAAAGAGAAAATGCCTTGATCTTTTATCAAATTCTCTCAACTACTTCTTAAAGGAAATGCATAGAGATCAGTTTGGAGAATTTGCTTGTGGATATTGAGGCTTACAGGGTTAAAGCAAATGCATTGCTGGAAAGCACGATCTACTTGTTCTATTTTACATTTTTTGAGTTCGAGAAGAATGCCGGTAAAAAAAAATAACCTAAAAGCTTGGATTTATTATATACATACTGAGATATACAATCATATAGTCACTGAAAAGGTATGCCGTAAATTTTCATATGCAAATGAGTTCTAGCCAATCAGAGAAGCAAACGATGTTTTTCACACTTGAAAACAAATATACGTCCACTCAGAATCGTGAATGCTTTGTTTTCACATGTGAGAAAAATAATGCACCCAATCAAACAAATCGTGCGTAAACACCGTGCACGAGCATTTTCCATGAAGTATTCTATATGTAACACTTGCCTATTGGTTCACAGGTCAACCCGTCTCCAGTGTAACCATCCCGACAGCGACATATAAAAGAGCCTGGACTATTGTAACAATGAGCCACTCCATGACAGTTGTGGGTTGCCGTTGCACATTCATCGATTTCTGTTAAGTAGCAGAAAGAAAACATTAGACAAAAAAACAGGCCGCCTAAAGTTTCCAGTGTGTAAATTAATTGCTTGGAAGTGCCAAGATTAGTTATTGTTGGAGGTTCCATCAATAAAAGCTGTTTCTCTTCAAACTTCAAAAACTTAGAATCTAATGGCTTGCTAACAACTCTGAAGGCAAAACAAATATAAAGAAGACAAAAATGCCAACCAACTCTTTAATATAGTGCTAAATCAAATAAATTATACTTAAAATTTAATTTAAATTAGCAGAGAATATACCTTATTTGTTTTGTTAATAGTTTAATTTTTTTCTGGTTTATTCTTGAAAACTTGCTATTATGAATGCTAGCGTAAGATTTTACTAGGAAGAAACGCTGAACTGCCCCTGTGCTGTTTCTTGAACACTCTCCTAAATGATGTGAAATCAGAACTCCGGCTGCCACTGTGGCTCTGTTTTTGGGTATTTTATGCCATGGTCTAATTTTATCTCTAGGTGACTGTAGGCAGTGGCTCAAACATATCTACGCGCCAACTCAGAGACCTGTCACATTGCCACATTAAATTGTAACTGGACTAGATAATACATGGCTTACCATCACAGAATGTACCATTTCCCTCGTAACCTTGTAAACATGAACAGTCAAAAGATCCAATTGTGTTTGTACAATTAGCAAACTGGCTGCAATAGCTGACATTCAAGGAGCATTCGTCTATGTCTACAAAATATGACGTCACATGGTTTTATTTATGTTGTGGTTCAATTTTATCCTTGGTTTAAATTATATCTTCTTTTGTTTTTGGGTATGGCAATATATGATAATGAGTTTTAAACAACAAAAAAATTAAACCAAGGATAAAATTGACCCACAACATATGCATTTTATTTTATATGACGTCAGCTGACAATTTCTGTCGAATTGGCTTGATATATCATATCTTCTTTTCTCAAAACAAACAAATTTGTTGGCATCTTTTCAAGTTCAAAACATATTTCATCCTGATGAACTTATGTCCCACCATCTTCCTTCATGTTCCGGCGAAAATTTTTTATAGCAAATTTTGACCTGCATAATTTAGGACACGTAGGCTCCGTACAAGGCATCGAAAGCGGAAGGGAAAGGAGGGAGGAGGGAGAGGGGATCCCTCTTTTTCGCTCCCCCCCTCTGCACTCCCTTTTTGCGCCTTCAACGCAGGCTAAGGTCACAGTACAGTTTATCCTTTATGTATTACTGTCAAATAATCAGGGGTGAGCTTATTTTCTCGACTTCAACTGGAAGATACCATGATTAAACATTTGATGCCAGTATAAACAGGAAAGTATTTAAGAATCAAATTGACTGCAGTTAACTCAAAATTATAGTTTCGCTCACCAACGCAAACTTTGCCATCTCCTGAATATCCGGTACGACAAAGGCATTTGTATGTTCCGTATCTGTTAGAACACTTCGACCCTTCAGAAGTACAGTTGTGCATCTGTTGTGAGCACTCGTTTATATCTAGGGTGTAACAAACCTGCTGATTAAAGAAAAATCAGAGCCCGGACATATCGACCAGATTTCATAAATTGGCTGTAAAAAGTAAAATTAGGATCAAGAAAAACTTATCGGGATTCACTTTCAACACACAAATTTGTCTAGGCTCTTATGACCTCTTCAGTTGTTCGCCGCACATCACCTCATATCTAAGATAATTTTGTAATCTGTCAATCCAAGAAAATTTGTTAATCACGTGATGTTGCGTCCCCCCGTCCGCCAGTCCGCACCACAGGGTAGCCAATGTAAAATATCACATTTTCTAGCTAGTGAGAGTACCTGCAACTTGATATACTTCACAACTGCGTTGTGGCCAATTGACAGCTGTCAAAACAGGCTATCTGCTGACCAGTATCATATGACCACATTGCGGGCTAAGATGTCGAGCCATTGACGTTACGTGTTTTTTTGAAGTTCTCCGACGAATTACTAGTTTTCTATTGTTTGCAGGCTCAACTTTAAGTGGATTTCTTTGCAATGGTTACAAGTTTATTGCTTTAAGGCAACAAAAACTATATTAACTGGAGCTTCGCCTTTAACCTCGGCTAAATTTAAATGGCAGGGAAAAAAAAAACGAAAACAGCAGTAGCATCATTCATAATGCTAACGATCAGTACTGTAACCTGCGATCAGGCGTTCTTTTTGGGGGGATAGTGCGAAAGTCGGACATAAGTCAGACGGCAAAAAAGGGAAGGTGGACCGCCTGATTGCAGGTTACCAGTACTGTGGCCACTATGACCATCACTCGGGACATCACTATGCAAAAAGGCCATGATGGCAAGCTAGGCACAAGAGGCACCTTCGCTTGGTCTAACAAGAGGAATTTTTCAGGTATGGTACCGTAGAAGCTGACAGCGTAGAGAACTTGGGAGTGATCTGCCTTACCTTTCCGGGAAAATAACAATACCTTTGTATTAAATCAGAACTTAATCTGGCGATTGGCTAAGTTTTTATGGTTAGAAGAAAAGACGGTAGTGTGTAGTCGAAGTTTTCAACCATTTAGACCGTATCAAAGAAATGGATTGATGTGCAATGGAAATGACTCACCCAAGCAACTGAAACCATTTCCTGTGAACCCTCCATGACATGTGCAGTTGTACGAACCATAAGTGTTGTTGCAAGTTGCCCTCCCATGACAATTGTGTGTTCCTGTTAGGCATTCATCAACATCTGCAAATGATAATATTTACTAAAATGGCTGTAATAATAGGGCTGTTACTATAGGTCAACCTTGGACTGGATCGTGGACTTTTGGTATATTGATTCATGCTGAGGCATTCATTTTGAGGAATCCATCCTCCTTAGTTGTCGAAGGCTGCATAGAAAATGTAGGCTTGCATTAAACAATGGATTCCATCGATTAAGTGGTTAATTAAGGATACCATCATATCCTTGTTAATTACCCTAAGTGCGCAACAGTACGGAAGATATTATCTTGGTAGCAGTTGACGTAGTTAACGTTTCCGTTCGGAACAGTAGCTAAAATTCGTGAAAAGTGAGCAAATTTTTTACAACACGATTATAAATACCGGTTTTTTCGGCCTCGAGGTTATCTAATCTAAAAACTGATCATAGCCGTCACTACCCCTCGTGCCGTGGGGGAAGCGGAGGAGAGCGCCCCCCTCCCCCACGGATTAGGGGTGGAGACGGCTGATATTTTAGACGACCTTCTTCGGGAAAAGGAGGTCGGGAATTGATAAACATATGAACCGGAGGGGACGGGCAATTACAGCGGCGGATCCAGGGGAGGGCCCCGGGGGGGGGGGGGCTCCCCCTTATCTATCGATTCAAAAAAATTTGTTAATCACGTGACCAAACTGAGGCCCAAAGGGTCGGAAAAAATGTAGGGTCTGGATCGGGAACTGAATTAATAATGACTAACATATATTTTCTAGCATACACTGGATCGATAGCCACATAGCAGTTATTTGGTTAAACTAGGCAGTCGGCATCTAGTATTATTTCATCCTTTCCCCTTTATTTCTCACCACTCAAGAAATAGTGACACCAAACCCACCTTCACAGTGACGGCCATCTCCGGTGAAACCTTGTTTACATCTGCAAATGAATGAGCCCACTGTGTTGTCACAATATGCTTCTGAAGGGCAGTCATAAGTATTTGTTGAACATTCATCAACGTTATCTGCATGTAACAAATATTTTTTAGGTTAATGCAATCATCTTTATTTTCCTTTTGCTAGCTTTCTTTTGGAGGATAGCGAGGCCATAGTTGGTTGAGGAGACTGGTTACCGTGTAGCATGAAAATTTTGCGGGTTCTAATTTTTGCGAATTTTGAGGATTGACCTAGATCCGCAAAAATTAGTTCCCGCAGAAAAAAAAACCCGCAAAATAAAACGCCGCAAAAATTAACTCCCTTCAGTCAAATTAAAAATTCTGCTTTTAATGGACTTGTTGTGTGTGGTAGGGATAGCCTTTTGTTTTATTTTGCTGTTGTTCAGTCCCTTTGTGCAGTAAGATATTACAGTGATTACCGTATTATTCTCCATTAAATATGTAAGTAGAGTAAACTTTGACTCAACATACCGTAAAATAAAAGTTGAAAATACCATATTAAGGTTTCTTCCACTTAAATATTCTGCTACTTGAACAGAGAATCACAAAAATTAGTTCCCACCAGAAATTTCATTCATCTCGAACCGCAAAAATTTGTTCCCGCAAACCACAAAAAATCGCCAATCCGCAAAATAAAACTCCCGCAAAATTTTCATGCTACACGCTATGAAAGCCCGCAAACATCAAAAATAAAAGCAACGGTGCTGCAGTGCTTTGTTGGAAGCTCCCTAACGGAGAACAATCTCTCTTTTTTGTTCACAAATTGTGACTGAATAAATTACTGTGATGTTCCAATCGCCTCTTTTGATAGGAGAATGAAACTGTTCCGAGTAAACTTTCTCAAAGATGTCTGGGACTGCTACTGAAGAGAGGGAAAATAAATTAGCCAATAGGTGAACGGCGCGTTCTCAATAACGATCCCAGAAGTCTTTGCGAAAGCTAACTTCTAAAGAGGCGATGTTACAGTGATATGGTCATCCCCGCGTTTTGGTCATCCCCATTCCCAAAACCTAGTGATATGGGCATCCCCTGTAACCCTGACCCTAAGACAAAAGTGCAATGCATTTGATAAATCGCTGGTTTGCAGCCGACGTCACGGCTGCAATAAGCGGTCTCGTCGTTGGGAGGTAGACTCTTTTTCATGCGAATACTGCGTAAAAAGCTTCTATTGTTTTGAACTCCTTGCTGGTATGTCGCTTCGTTGCGAAACAGGAATTGGGATTCACCGAATTGCATTTTCCTTGATTTTAATACGAAATTTCCTTAATCAAGTGAAAAAAAAACCAAAAAACCTGCAAAAACAAAAGTTGACAATAACAGCAAAAATAACCACTTAGAGCAAAATTTTAGACCTAACATCCAGATAAAACTGAAAACTAATAAAAGCTTTCTACCTCAACTGAAGTCTGCACCGACACCTGCCGGTTCAGAAGTGTACAAGACTCAATTTCAAAATTTTGCTCATAGTTTAAATTTACTGGATAGATGGATCTACACAAGTAAAAAGAACATCAACAACAATAACAACAGCCATAACAGTACTCGTTATAAGAAAATTCTTAAACTGCATACCTTTGCAGCCGTACAATTCCATTCTCAAACCTATGTCTCCGTTCCAAGATAATGGGCGGAAGCGAATGAAACGTGCAGTGATTGGAGGAAACATTTCATTAAACACTACAGTATCTCGGTCTGTGTTTCCTGTAAAAACCTAAATCAGCAAGATGTTAAACTAATGAATAACCATTTTATGTATGATCGTACATATTCCTTTTAATCTACAAACTAACAACTTTACTGCCTTTGTAGTCCATCCTTCCTCCCCATATTATTTAATCACCTGAAAATATCTCTTTCAGGTCAAACCATGAACGATGAGATCCAAAAGCTTCCTGGGAATGGTTCAAACGATGACTTTACTTACATAAGCAATGAGTGTCAGATAGTACTACTTGAAAAACACAGCACAGCTGTTATCTGGGTTTCATATTAACGAAGGAACGGTCCGTAAGGTGATTCGTAAAGTTTGAGCAAAATCTGTGAGAGCGCATTGTTATCAAGACAGTTGGGAATGAATTTTTTACAGTTATAAGTCTAGTAAAAGCCAAACATCTTTGATGATTGGTAGATATCTATAGCAAACAAAACGCTTTGGAAACGTGGGCAGTTTATTGAAAGTAACTAAATTATCATTGGAGACACTCAGCCAGGTTATTAATTTTCAGGAATCATTTTTATTTTTGATTTTGACAATAGATTGCCGAATTGTAGTTTAAGACCCGAGTTTTAGCAAATAGAAAAAAATATATTTCAAATACCTTGAACTATCCGGTTTGGGTGAGATTACCATTCCCCAAAACTAGCTAAAACTAATAGGCCACTAAAAGAGCGAAGATTTTTATGTGAAAATGTCTCTTTAATCTGATGCAAATAAAACTCACGTGGAGCTCATTAGAGAGAGATTAAGCATCGGCGGCAAACGGCGAACGTTAATTTATACCACGTGACCAAGTTTTCCATGCACTTGTCGTTTACTGTTCATTATAACAACACGAAAATCGAAAAATTCACGCCAAATCTATTCATAAGAATTGTTTCAAACTGTTTTTATCTGCTTATTTCTCATTTTGATAATTTCTCGGCTTGAATCTCACGTTTGCCGTAAACGCGATGCTTAACCTCTCTTATGAAAGTGAGTGTTCTTGGAACGAGGAAAGGGCTGATTCTGTGACTTTTTAAATTGGGGATACCGGGTAAATTTGAGGTCTTCGCCGTCCCTGGAAATAATTGATTTTTCTACATTAACTTAAGGTTTCCTTTTAACGAAGTCATTAGAGTGTTTCAGAAGGCACGCACCAAACTGAAACCACTGCTTCAAAGTCCTGAATAAAAGAGTGTTAAAATCAACTTGGTTGCTAATGTTAGGCCTAGGCCAAACGTCGAACTTTTCATGAGACGAATTAAACTTAGTGAGCTAAGTTCATGAAAAGTTCGATGTCTGGCTCAGTTATGTTCGTCTGAATGAGTTTGGGTCGTCAAACACGTACTATCCGCCCGAAGATCTTCTCAGGGGCAAAAGGTTATCTTTACATGCGAGGAACTAAACTAATAAATTAAAAATTTGTTTGATGATGTAAGAAATTTATCACTGGCCCGCTAAAATTGCTTTTTGCTCTGATTCATTTGATTGGCTCGACGTGTCCCAAGTTCGACGTCTCTCTCAACAGACGATCTTAGAACTTAATTTAGGTCGACCCAAATTAGAGTTTGGTTCATCTCCTGAAAAGTTCGACGTTTGGCCTGGGCTTTAGATAGGAAGCTAGAGTTTCACCCGTGTTTATCACGAATGGATGCGAAAGCACGTCTCGACCGCTAAACTTCCCCCATTCAACTGGCAAAAAATTAAAATCAGCAAAAAGGCATGTAAATTTAACAGTATTGCACGGATGTCATGCGCATCGAACTGGTCTTTTGCCTCGAGCACAATATTATTTTTTCAGCCACCTACCATCTGTTCTGAACAGTGCAGTACATTCCAACGTGGATTGCTCTTATGTACGCGAGCTGGTAATTTCCAATATTCTGCGCCTCATTAGCATATAAGTAACGCGTTATACGAATTCACTCTAATATTGACGCACCCCAGCATTTTATAACTGAAATGGCTGGTTAATGCAATGTTTATTTCATAGAATTTTACCTTTGGTGAACTGTCCACGCCTTGTCCACTCTGTTCAATGTAGTATGTAAAGTTTTCTCCATTATCGCTGAACTGTAAGTTGTACGTCGTCACCCAGAAGTCAATATCATTTCTTCCCTGCGTTGCCACACCCGTCACATTGATTTTCTGATTGCCTAGATCAACCTGAAGCCACTGGTCCTTATCTAAAGTAAGAGGCTTCCAACCGCCTCCATGTGCTGAAGTAGCTTTTATGTGAAGCCTCGCAAACGTTGCAGCAAGGAGAGAGTTCCATTCAGATGACGCACTAATATGTGCATCCGTTATTTCACCGTTTTCCATGCCGAGACCGTCATGGCACTCTAAAGCACAGATCAAACAGAGAAAGGGAATAAGCCACAGAGGGCCCAGCCCGAGGCTCAAAAAAGCCTCCTTGAAGCCAAGTTATATGGATTTTATGGGAATCCATTGTGACTTTCGATTGTATGGTAAAATTGCACATTTTCAACCATTTAAGGGTGTATGTCAGCTCACATGTTACAGGTCAAAAATAAAGACAGGTTAATTTTTTTTAACCTAGGTTGATTCTCTATTTCCTTTGTCTCCTAGCCCTCATTTTTCATGAATTAGGGCTAGGAGACGAAGGAAATTGAGAATAACACTAGGTTAATAATTTTTTAACCTGAATATAATTTTGCCGGACCTGTAACATACACACCTCATAACGGGAGGGACGGCAAAAATCAACCGATACAAAACGAGATTCCCAATAATGTTCAGGGGACACTTCGTACAAACTGCTCTTGTTTTCAAAGAAGTGGCGGGAAACACCAGGCTGTTGGTTTTAGGGATTTGTCAGAAATTATCAGGGGGGGAGGGGGGTGGGACTTTTAAATTTGGGTTTGGAAACGGACGTGACCCATCGCTGCAATGGGAGTGAAATCTGCTAGCCCTCCTCTCGACCTTGGCCTAAAATATCATGACCCTCCCCCTCTTGCATAAATGATAAAATGTAGTTGTTGCAATACACTAGGATGAGTCAGTATTATGAAAGCTCAAAATATATTTCTAAACTGTTCTTTGTAATGCCATATACATACATTTTAGATGACAGCATTAAGAGTCCGACTCTGATTCTGACAGTTGATCACTCGACTCTCCTATTTCTCCCAGGTTTTTTTTTTACAAAAAAAAGAACTTCTTTTTTCTTCTATGGGTGAACCTCTACATGATCAAGGACACGTATTTGCATGACCCTCCCCCTTTTAACGGCCCATTTTTCATGACCCCTCCCTTTTCTGCAGTCTCAAAAAGTTGTGACCCTCCCTCTGTTTCCATCACCCTCCCCCCTGCTAATTTCTGACAAGTCCCTTAGTTAACTTTTACGACGAGGCAATGCTACTTCTAGCCGAAGCAGACATAAATCTTGTGGCGATGTAAGTATTCTTTTTTCAAATAGATATATGGCAAGTATTCTAACTGGTGTAGAAAAGCCTCCATAATTTTTTTGGAAATAATTGTGGCTCCGCAAATGCCTGTTAAAAATTTAGCCTGGCCCCTCCCTGCCGGGGTAATTTCGACCGTGTGGGCTTGGCTACTAAGCCTAGATCAGAGAAGCGCTAAGTCGAAACTTTCTTGTCATATTTCTCGTCTTCTTGAGGCCACGGCTTAATCTTTGAAAACTTTTTAGGAAGGAGAATGTTCGAACTATATGCGTAAAGCAAAGATTTGGAGCGAGCGGATTGACATGAAGGTGTTTTTTAGAGCTTTTTCTTCGGGCAGTGTGTACTGGGCTGCACTGAGCAGCCGAGCTTCCCTTGTCTTCTTCTGAGTGGGTGATAAACCTGATCTTCAAAACTTGCCAAAATGGCGATCGTAGGGCAGGAAACCGGCAGTAAGACAACAACAAAGGACATCTGATTCTCGTTATGAGGTATGTACATTTAAATGGCTGTTTATGTTCATTTTTTGACCGTATTATCAAACTCACGATAAATTTCCATTTACAATTTGGCTTCGAGCATGGTTGCCCGGTGAATAAGCAAACTAGCCACTCTTGCAAAACGTGCCTCATTTTGTAAATTCTTGTTCAAAAAACGAAGTTTACTCGGCCTTATCCTCGGAAATAGTGCAGACGTAGGCGTTTCATCAGCACTAATTATCTTTGAGTTCATTTTTAGCAAAACACCGAGTTCACACCAGACATTTTGATCCTGTCTTCTAAATCTGGATGGAAGAAGTTCCAGATAGCGAACCTATCAGATTCTTTAAACAACAAGTTGACTGAGTATATATGAACACTAAAATGTGATAAAATATGAAAACGATAAGTAATAAAATATTTATAAAAATTGAAAAAAGAGCATACAATAAAATAATAAAGTAACAATAAGGCCAATTAAAACAGATCTAAACAAACAATTTGTGCTGATGAAATCGCTCTGTTTGCTTAGTGTTGGTTTCAGTTCCCAGTATGATAAAAAGCATTCCAAAAATAAGACAATCAAGTTTGCTCTGGCTCTTTCCTACAATTTCGCGCAATGTCATTTGGGGACATATTCTGCTGATCGCTCAGGTGGTTTCTGATTGCATGTCTCTTGTGCTCTTCAATTTGCTGGTGAAGGTGTTGGCACGTGTAGCAGACAGAACTTGCACTACACAGGTTACGCTGAAAAAGGTACACAACGCATTGTTGATTCACAAGGGGTTAGTGTTCACCCGTGTTCATGGCATTCTTTCTTTCTTTCTTTTTTTAGTTTTTATTTTTTTTACTATTTTTAATATGATTATAAGCAATTTTATATTTAAAATGACCTTGAGGAGACTTCGAAACGTCGTGACTTTTAGAGTTGACTTTTATTACAAAAGGTGAATTTCTTGGACTATCAGTAAAATCTATCTAGTATGGTGATGTGCTTAATTCTCATTACCAATCTGTTTTTTAAAATTACTGATTTTATAGCGAGAAATTCGATGTTGATCACTCTTGGAGCCCAGCTGAGAGGGTTAAGCTATCTTCTGACAAGTTACCTCTGGTCTGAAAACGGGTGTGGAAAATAACATTGGTCTGAAATAGGGTCATCATTTGGAGAATCTGGCGACACAACCCCACCCAAAATTCTCAGTAGTACTCTCTGGGATAATTTCGACGTACAAAGTGGCCTAAGTGGCAGCCATAAATCGCCATACTTATATTTTGACACCTCACAATAAGAAAGCGGAAATAAGTGTGAACATCATCACATAATAAAAAGGTCATCACCATCGAGTTTCTACTTTACCTTTGCACCCATACAGCTCTACTCTCATGGCTATAATGGTGTGCCAAGTTTTTGGTCGAAAACGGATGCAGCGCGCCCTGATTGGCGGGTTTAGATTGTGAGAAACAACTGTCTGCTGATCAGTATTCCCCGCAAAATCCTAGAATAGTTCAAAACGTAGAATAACAGTCACTATGAAACATAAAGGTTTGCTTATGGGTCAATTTAGTCGAATTTTGTTGACGATACGAACATAAGTTAAAGCCCTTACTTTCTTTTGTTTCTTTATTCACGTGCAAAGGATGCTGTTTTCAGACAGAGCAGACAGATTTTCATCCATAATGAAAAAGGGTAGGTATCACTTTTTAAACTCTTGTTCATTCTTTGAGAATGTCTTAGTGGATTTGCAAACATTTTAAAATGGTTAATTATGTCCACTTTCTCAGCGAATGAGTTCTTTAGTACAGCTGTTTGATGGCTTGTTCATAGGTTCCAACTGTACATTTTATGCCACAGAAAACTTTAGCTAGGGAAAAGAAAACTAATTACTTGAGGTGATAAAAATACATCAGAAGGACAATACTTTCAGTAAAAGCGACCATAGGTCAGTTTTACAATACCCGTTTAAATAACACGCACCGTAGCTTGAATACAGGCCATCGTAGGTTATCAGCTTATCCAAAACATCGTTCTTCGCATTTTCAATCTCATCAACCCTAATATCTTACCTTTGCTTACTATGAAAAAACTCAAGAAGACTAAAGCGGCGAGTAGAAAAGACTATTATCGTAATTCAGGTCTATGGAGTGTTTTTAAACGCGATTCCAGTTTGACTTCGTCTGACAAGCTGGCCCCACTAGTTTTACTTCGTCTTCCACCACTGAAAGTGAATCGTAAGGTTGCATACTGTTGTTTGCTCTGCACATTGCGCAAGTTAAATTGTCCTAGTAAAGTAATCAGGTCTACAAACAACGAAAAAAATATCCAAGGTTATACTTCCCTTGAGGTTCAAATTGCGGTAACAATATTGGCCCAGGTTTACCTTGTATACACCTTGTCCATCCTCCACATAGTATATGAACGAATCCACACAATCGTGACTGTACTGCAGATTGTACACTGTTACCCAATTCATATGATAAGGTCTTCCTTGAGTTGCTATTCGTGTTATCTTAATATAGTAACTGCGCAGATCAACTTGGAGCCATTGATCTGTATTGGAGTCAAGAGCTTCCCAAGCTCCTATAAAAGACCCATTTGGTTCTAGGCGTAGTCTTCCTTGGCTGGGAAGATGATAAGAGTCATAGCTTGAGGAGGCAGTTATTTGTCCGTCAGTGATTGCCCCGCTTTCCATGCCCAGTGCATCTACACAGTCTAAAGGTTTTCGAGTGTAAAGGGCGATTAGGAGAAAATAAAAAGCAAACTCGAAAGTTTTTTCTAACGAAAAGAGACATTTTTGCTGTAAGTTGGTCCTAAAGAAAAGACCAAAGGACGAGGTCAATAATCACATTATGGTATATATTTCAAGTTAGCAATAAAGATAATTGTTGGCTTCACACTAGAAGTGAAGTTAGTTTCAAGTAAGCTCTTGATTCAAGTGCACTTGGAAAGCTTAAGTCGCTCTGTAGAAAATATGGCTTCACACTTGTTGACAAAGTATATTACTTGAAGTAAAAGCTGTTAATCTCTTTGTTCATTAGAATCGTTGAACCAGTCAGCACGTGCACAACGTTCACATGGCTTCCATTTCATATTGGTCAAGTGTGTTCTCAAGTGTGCTGTAGCCCATACTTGGCGGCGAACTTCGGCTTCATTGAACTACGAACGTTTCCATGGTCACCAAGTAAAGTTAAAGTAGGTACATTTTACCCTTTCACACCCAAAGTAAGTTTCAAGTTCAGTTACATTATACTTGAAGCTCTAGTGTGAAGCCAACAAATAGGACCGAGCAGGTGAGCTTTCCTGCGAAAACATGATATCTTCACACGTGAAAGTAATATGTCATCTTTACATGTGAAAAGATTACGGTTGCTATGGCTACATAATAAATCGCGGTAAAAGAAAATATTCAAGTGATATGGTTTGTTATTTCATTGGTGTTAGCATAATAAATACAACAATTTCACTCGACGGGAAATTTTGTATCCCCGAGCGGCCATGTGTTGTCCTTTATTATTCATTCAAAATATTTTGCCCGGCTAATTCTTCATAACTTACTGTCGGTTACCATATTTAGAAGATGCGAGCAATATACCATCGATTTGATGGTATAAATTATGATATACTATCGATCAACCTCGTTTCCAGGCGCGGCAGCCTAGCTGTTTATTCCTGACTGAACTAAAAAATAAAAAGGCTTTGACAGCTATCCGATGACGAAATTGTTAAATTTCTAACTAACTGAACGAAAGGAATACAAGAATACGCAAAACATATCGCTCAATTGATGTTACATACTTTTTGAGGAGTATCTTAAAGGACAGCTGTTTTATATCCTGAAACCGTTCGAGACTTTGAAGAAAGTCTACGAAAAGGTAAGCTTGTTAAGAAGTTAGAAATATTTTTAATGAATAACTAAACGATTATTGAATTCGGCTTTCTCTCGGGACGACTGTAATGCCCAGGAGAAAAAAAACAATGGTTATGTATTGGGGGGGGTGGGGGGTCGGAGGGGACAATATGCATTATGGTCTTGGTAAAAATGGTAAATATATTTTTCGTACGCGTTAAAAATCTTGCAGCACTATTCTGAACATACTCTGCAGCTGATTTTTTGTTGAGGTTCTAAATAATGGATTGCAATAGTCCACTTAAGACGAAGTAAAAGCAGAGGTGAGTAAAAGACAAAAAAGGAGGTAATTTCCTTTATTTGAGGTCAAGATTTTCACACCCCCATAATAATGATGATAGCAATAATAATAATGATTACTACTACTACTACTACTACTACTACTACTACTACTAGTACTACTACCACTAATAACAATTCTTATTATCTTCATTATTAACAATCAAGTCCACTTTACCTTTACAACCAAAAAGCTCTACTCTCATTGCGATTTGATCTGTCCACGTTGTTGGGCGAAAACGAATGAAACGTGCTTTGATTGGCGGCCTTAAGTCATGTTTTACAACCTTATCTGCGTCTGTATTTGCAGTAAAATCCTTAAAAAAGAAAGGAGCATGATGTGACGACAATATCTACGACTGCTAGTGTAAACAGTCGACTATAAAACTAAGATAAAAGGCAATGCGAAATATTCAGGGATCAGTGACCTTCGGATGGAATTTTGTTCCTCTCACACGTGGGTACAGAATGTTGTTCGTTGAAGGACTGTCTTTTCGTTTCTTTTGGAAACTTGCACTATTAAAAAGATATTTAAATACAAGCAGTCGTTTGTAATACGACCGGTATCTTTGTAAAGTCCTCTTCGTCTCTGTTTGGGTTCAGCTTCGTTCCCAAAATTCCAGGCCACTCCTACGCTTTCGGGTTTTTGTGTGCCTCTCATGCGCTTATATCATTCGTTAGTTATAATAAACATTCTACATTATCCGTCCAGATTTTGGATTTATCTTAGAATAGTGGTTCTTTCATTTGAGGGACCTAGGCACTCCAGTACATTTAAGACCTGGTCGTAATAATTGGCTTTGGATATGCTTTTTTACGTATAAGCAGCTAGATAAGTGATTGGATTAGGTCTCACTTAATCATATCAGTTCGATTTCAAGTTTTTTGTTTTCGTGCTAGTTGCATACAGTCTACTTAATTCCCATTTTTGATTTGTTATAATCCTTTATGTTAACTATACTCATAGCAGGGACTTCACGGAATTCTACCTTGATAGGCCCCTTCCCTTGGTCTCCGAAGTATGTGAAGTTCACTCCATTATCGCTGTACTGTAGGTTATAACTTGTCACCCATTGGCTACCTCCATTTCGACCTTGTGTTGCTACTCGCCTCACTGTGGTTTGGTAATTAGCCAAATCAATCTGAAGCCATTGGTTCGTGTCTACCGTTCCAGCTACCCAAGATCCCTGTTTGATTCCAGTTTGCTGGAATTGAAGTCTGGCCTGGGTGGCAGCATGGTTTAGGTCGATTTCAGAAGAAGAACTTATTTGCCCGTCAGAAATTGTGCCATCTTCCATACCAAGAGCGGATGGACACGCTACAGATCAAAGAGACGAATCGAAATCTCTTAACAAGTAAAAAAGTTCCCTGTAAATGTGTTTAAATGTGTTTGCGAAAATTCAGTTTTCGCTGTAAGAAATACGAATCGAAAGCTCTGCTTCCATTCTAGCTTTTCCGTGACCCTATTGACTACCCACACTAAGCCATCAAAAATTTTCATCCTTGACGTTGTGCGATACTCTCTCTTTTTCTTAACCATCATATCAAAAAGCATTGGTAGCGACCTCGATTTCGTCAAGGATACCATAGAGCGTTTATATGTTTGTAAAATAGTTCCGTGGATGAAACAAATTAAAACGGAATCTATCAAGAAATTGAGTAATTTAATTTTCAGAGGGCAAAAACCTTATACGAGAGTAATTTAAACAACATCGCATTCTTTTTTTACATTTTTCAAGGGCCATAGATATAATTAGTTATTTGTAATAACACCAAAGACTGTTTCTCATGGGAGCCCGAGAAAATAAATGTCACATTTCACAAGAATTGTGAAAACACAGGTAAAATTCTGAAATTTTATATGTAAGATGTCATTTTTTGAAATGTAACTTTTATTATCTCAGGCTTTCAAAAGAAATTTTATTTGGTGTTATTACAAGTAACTGATTACATCTATCGCCCTTAAAAAATCTGAAAAAGGTTTTTGTCCTCTGAAAATTGAAATTACTCAATTTCCTGATGGATTTCGTCTTAACTTTTGAAACTTACTTGAATACATTTCCACTCTCATACAATTCCAGTTATACTGTTGAGTCGGATGGAAGCGAACATATCTTGCTGGCACTGGCACGGGTAACATGTGTCGGTAAAGTGAGTGATTGGCACCTTGCCTTTGAAATTTCTTAAAGAGGAATTCACCCAAAGATAAGCAATCGCAAAGGTAGGTATTTACAAACATTTGTTTTTATCATTTGATTGTCAATTTGCCATTGTTAAAAAAAGAGCAAGATCAAAAAGTTATCATTTGAGCCTGATCACTTCGTCTGAGTGAGTCAAGAGGTTGTGGGTTGTATGTGATTTGTGATTCGAATGGTGTAACAGCGCCATAAATGGAAACACGGTACCAAAGACGAGCAAGAATAAATTAATTCAATGTTAGTTTAATTAATGTCATTTCCTCGACCAATTTTACCAATGAGATTAATTAGGATAAATTCGTCAGATGCACTGAAAATCTTTAAGAAGTACGTAAATATTTTGTCCTTACTGCGGCAGGATTAGCTCAGTCGGTAGAGCGCTTGACTGCAGAGCGGGAGGTCGCGGCATCAATTCCCGGGGTCGGACCAATACTCGGGGTCTTAAAATAACTGAGAAATGAAAGTACTACCGTTGCCCTGCAAATGGCTAGACCTTCGCGCGGCTCGGATGACCACGTAAAATGGCGGTCCCGTCTCCAGTAGGAGACGTTAATATAGTGTCCCCAAATAGCACTTCCGTGCTAAATACATTGACACTCAAATAAAGTACATTTTTTTGCATTGGTTCATGGAAAAGTTTTTTGAAAAAAATTCTCCAAAACAAGAAATCGCTATGGCGTTCGTTTATTCTAGACAAGGAAAAAGGAAGGCAAGAACTTTTCATCTTGAAGACAATAATGGAAAATTATGAGTGGAAGTGATCATTGTTACTTTTTTTGGATGCATTAGTGAGCGTATATGTCCTCACATTAAGCAAAAATGTCGTAAATCTAGCTCTTCCTTAAGCGCGTGCAAAGATGGCGGGTATTGGGAAAAAGGTCTACTAAGCTCCCTAAGCATGAAATCTCACCAATTCCATCCCATGGCTGTCGGTGTAAGAATTCCAGAATGATCCCTCCATTGAGTAGGAAAGCTTAAATTCTTGTACCCAGTTGTTGCCACTGACATCTCCCTGAGTGCTGACAGCACAGAGTACTAAAATTTCCCCAGCATCCACCTGTAGCCAGTCATCAGTTCCACTTGCTGTTCCAGCGCACCAACCGAGCCCTCTAACGTCGTATAGTCGCCCATAAGTGGAAAGGTAATTAGAATCCTTATACGAAGAAGCACTTATTTGATCATCAGGGATAAATTTAGTACTAGAAACGCCAACGGAGTTAAAAAAGCAGTCATCTGTGGAAAATATTGCATTTTAAATGAATTATGTGTTCAATGAGAGCAGGAGTTTTATAAGGATAAATTACTGAAAAATACCTAACAATTAATGAATGAGGCTGAGTACCTTATGAAGAATTATGGAGATCGAAGAGGGTGTTACGGCCTCGACGGATAACACCCTCCGAGATCTCCATAATACTTCATGATACGAAAGCCGAATTCAATAATTTTTTATTATTCATTCAAAACAATTGTAGTTTAAAAACATAGCTAAAACATTCTTACCTCCATCAATGCTAAGTTCATCTTCGATAGCGCACGTTTAGGGTTGTTCTCTTCCGCAAATATTCTCCAATTAACAGATGTCGCCGTTCGAGTTGTCTATTTGCTGTTCTTGCCATGTTTTTTTAGCTTACCTATTATTTCGCCTAGTTCTTACTCTTGAAACGAGTGAGGTGTCCGCCATTTTTGCTTTTACAACCAAAACAACTCAACCTCGTCCCAGGTCTTCTCGGTTAACGGTGCATTAACCTGTAAGAAAGCTGAACTTTTGACGTCATCGGTTGTTTAATCCCAAAATTCTTCCAAATTTAGTTTCCCCCATTCTGATTGACTTTTAGCCAGTCAGAATGGGGGAAATATTTTGAATGAATAATAAATGCATTTTAACCGTTGTTGTGAGATATAAACATCCACGGCATTGAAGTAACAACTACGTCTCAGGATTTAAAAACCTCTCCTTTGAAATTCACGATTCGCCGATCATCGTAATCAACGCCCTCTTCCCTCTTGTGGCACTCTTTACAGTTGCAGATTCACTAAGTTCCTGGACCAAATTAACAATGAAAATTGTAAATCTCGAGGAAAAAGCCGATTTCTATGTTGGATAGTCCATAAAAACGAACAAAGACAACTTTCACATCAACGTGCAAGATACACAAATCTTTCATAGACAGTGCAATTTCAGTCCACGCTATTCTATTCTTCCGCTCGTTAGCGTTAAGTGCCTTTCGACTCTGGAGTTGGTGAGGGTTTTCCAATCGTTCTCCTAAAATAGAGCTCCAATTTTGGGCCATGTCACTTATTTTACTAGCGTGGTGTACAAACACAATTTTGTACCTCAGTGTCATTAAAACTTCACTTCACTTTGGTGAATGAGTAGAAGTGAATGATTGTTATTTATTGGTGCGTTCCCTTGGTGGAAAAACAAAACAAAACAAACAAACAAAAATAAACATTAGGGGGTACGACAAAAACTGAAACTCCGTGTTCTTCCAGATTAACGGACAGTTAAGGCGTTTTCACATAACGTTACGGCGGCCATGTTGGGTTACCAAGAAAATCTTTCGGAAGTTGGACTACTGAGCTTTATACAAGCGGCTCCAAGAGAGCGATATCTTTCAAGTGCCATACCTACCCATAGACATACATCATCCTTACCCGCAATTTGTTTTTGTTTTGCTTGGATCTGTTGTTGAGATAAAGTTTCGTTGTACAATTGTACTTGGCCAATCTTGGCTTTCAAGTACGTCGTGTCATTAGGATGAGCTCCAATTCTGAAGCTATCCTGTGTTGCCAGTTCAAGTCCTATTCCAGTGTTCTGTGATTGAACCACATTTCCATCAATCCACAACTTGGCCTCGCCAGTTGATTGGTCGTAGGATGCGCCAACAAACATCCAAGTACTTTCCAAAGTGGTGTTACTCTTTAAATAAGGTAGAAAATCATAGTCTCTTTTTACGAACCGTACAAATAGGCGTCCTGTTGATACCCAAAGATGCACTCCAAACCGATTGACTCCGTAGTTGAAGATTGGCCCATCTGTGCCCTGATATCTTATCCAACATAAAATCGTCATCGAATGGCGCACATCTAAAATTCCTCCAGGTGCATTCGTGAATTCGATGTAGCTATCTGACGTTCCGTGTAGTTGGTATGAACCAAGTCTTTTTCGGCCAGGTCCATATGTTCGATCTACACCATTGCTTCTCCCTTGAACTACGCGGCCTTTTATTTCGTTCGTGCCATATGCTCCATTGAGGGGAAAGAATGCAACTGGATCTGGAACTTGGAAAAGCAATATCTTATTAAATAACTGTCATGAAAACCATGGTAGAATCTACTATCATAGAGAAAATTCTTTGGACACTTTTGCATTTGTAGGGCTTGTTTTCAATTCACACATGCTCAACTCCCTCCTAACTCAGAAACAACATTGGAAGCGTGTATCCAGAATTTTCCGAGTTTCAACGTTGTGTAACGTGAGCTGGACGGAGAACTGCAAACAAAATTTCGAAAGGGATGCACTGTTATAAGAGAGCACACAGAAATTACAGAAAATCATGAATACTTCATTAACTCTCCCAACGACGTTTGCCCAGGATTGTAGTATTACAAGACTAAAAAAAGTGTGTTTTGGGTAGAACATTATTAATTTTATTTATCTGTTTATGAGCTTTACGGGACGTAGCTCTTGAAAGAGAGGCAGTTTGACACTAGGGCTGGCTACTGTCAAGGATTGTTACTTCTTAAGTGGTCCATTTATGTCCCCAAAGAGTCAGACCCGAGAGGTGCTGTAAGAGAGGTCTACAGTTTTCCGTCACTACCTATGAAGATTAGAGTACCTAACACTTTCACCCTTAACTTTGCAAGTCGTTACACCAAATAATAGTCGTCGCAAGTCGAGGCGGGAGGAGTATGAAGGCTACAGAAGTCATCGAGGAATAAGGAGGTTAATAACAAAGAATAAACATTTGCAAATGTGAACCAAAGACAGTACATTCAACTTAGTTAAATTTAGAAACTAAGTGCTAATGCGGCTGGGAATCGAACCCGGGATTATCGCTTGACTTCTAAGCCTGGTACCCCGGGAAGGTGGCTGGGGGGTACCCCATTTAATGACATATACATTGTACGGAGAGGCTGCGCCAGAAAGGATAGGAGTTTCTCTAGTTGTAGTGTATAAAAAGGTAGAGAAATCTGTCATTTCCGTCTGTGAAGAGGCCCACAAGTCCTACAGATGCATTTCTTGGTTATGTAAAAGTAAAAGTATTGTATAGAAAACGTGCTGGTTCAGGTTGTGATTTATTCATATTTTAAAGAAAATGTATCTACAGCAGCTAAAATGGAGACAAAGATGTCAACAAGGTATGTAAAAGGAGTACCTTTTATCAATACAAAGTATAGAAAGGGTTACGTTTTCTGTCAAAAATGCTACAAAAGAGGTTAAGGGGTTGGACTTCAAGGCGGAGCTTTTTTAAACATACCCTACCGGGCCTGATACTTAACCAATGAAGCTAAAAAACTTTTAGTAGCGCAAACTGGGTGACATAAACGGGTTGAGTAGGAATGCGTAATTTCAAAGCCGAACTCGAGTTTCTAGAATACAGTATAAGCTGGAAATGAACCACTTCAAGTAATTACGTAATAACGTTTGTTTGCATTTTTTCAACAACGACATCACACAAAAATCGGAACTAAAAGGCGCTTGTTGTTTGTAAGTAAACCCGGAGATAAAATGCTGGTTTATTAAATAAAATAAGTGCTCTAGCAATATCTAATGTTTATTTAGTTTCACAAACCTCCACTGACGAGAAGTCCCTGTATAAGCACTATCAAGCCTTTAGTGAAAAACCAACCAGCTGTTTTCTGAAAAGTTCAGATTAGTTAATAGAAACCGGGTGAAACTCATCATTGGAAACAGTCATAAAAGGGCTATTCTAATAGGAAATTGTTGTTAATTTTTGGTCAATTCTCTACTGAATTCTTTACTCAGTGCCTTTACCCATAGAAAAAAATCCTCCTGTAGAGTTATGTGGAACATATCAAACTAATTTCATCAGGGAGTACCTATCATAATATTTTTTGAGCTTCTGGAAAGCGTAGCATTAAAAAGTTTGCCCAATACCAATTTTTTCAAGTTTCAATGAATGTCCAACCTTTGCAACAGACTACATGAAACAGCTTTGGTGCCTAAATATTGTCTTAAATTACCAAATTGGGTTATTATTTTGGAATTCAATCGATGCGAGGACACATTTTAGCTTTTTTAAAAATAGTAAATAGCGCGACATAACATTAACTTACTTTCGACGGGAACGACAAATCCTGGACGCCCATTTTTTTAAGAGAACACGGTTTTGCCTGAATAAATCGCTGTTCACGTTTCATCAAAAAAATAGCTTGGTGATATAGAAAACAGGAAAAAGAAGCGAACCAAAAACCTGGAGTTTGATTCAATGAAATTAATGTAAGCTTATTAACTTTTAATCAATGTTTCTTAGACACGTTTATGTTAACAGTTGATGTTAAGTTTCTACTTTGTCTCAGAAAAGGTAAACAATTATTCCTTTTCTTCTAGAAAATAAACTTCCGAGGTATTTATAGTTGTGGGTATTGTCAAGCTTAAAACGACAGACGTATGTTAAATTAATAGGTACACGCGCAAACAAAAGGTTCATACGGTGTCATCTTTAGTTAATTCACAATGTAATAAGGGCTTAGTTTGAAATCTGTTTCTATTATCGCTGAAAATCTTGACAGGTGAAAAGTAAGTGAAATTCAAGATAAGACAACTTACAAATTTTATTCCTAAGGTTGGAATTCCGATATCGCTTGATTTATACGTCCGAACTCATTTTACGCGCGTAAATATATACGGAAAGTCGCGCTTAAACGTAAAAGTTAAGCGAGGTTCAACTTAAACGTTTACGCGTGACTTATTCAACTTATTCGATGGTTTAGCATATGATACGTGCGGATATTTTGCGAGTTGCGTAGTAGTTATCCGAGCCCCGCAGGGACGAGGAAAAATACGAAGCAATGAGCTAAATGTCCGCTCATATTATATGCTAAACCATCGAATAAGAGGTTTATTATTCCACTACAAAAAACTGCTATCTGCAGTTGGTTGGCCACTATTTTGTTGGTAATAGTATTCAAAAAAGTCCTGATTCCGTCTGTGAGGATGACGTTAACATTGAGCAAAATGTTCGCGCGCATTATATGTCAAACCATTGAATGAGAAAAACAAAAAAATATATATATATATATATTATTTTGGCTTCTATTTTCTGGTAAGAGTATCCAAAACATCCTACAGTTCAGTCTATGGATTTGTATATCACTTTTAGATCACGGTATTCGCCTAACATAAGCAGGATTCTAAGCCAAGGACCTACATTGTACAGCCTCTTCAATGTTTGCGCGTTCTCTTGAACTTGTATGGTATTTAAAAACTATGGGTACGATGATAAAATCCCATTTATTGCCTCTATCTTTTTCCGGGCGCGCGTGCCAGGTAAAATTACGTGACGGTGGAAATTACACTAACTGTTACAATTACTTCTGAGGTATACTGGATACTCTGAAATATAGCCTAGACGGGGAGGCTCACTTGAGAAAGAGGATATCTATTTTTTGGATTTGCAGGTATATATACCAGAAAGGGGTGGGGATTTCACTATGGTTCGGGTACCGAGAAGAAAAGCTGGGAAAAACTCTCGTCTAACAAAAGATTGAGGCCTCAGTTTTTATTGGTTTTGTAGTTGTATTCATGTAACTTTAAAGACAGATTTTGTTTTTGGATTCTGAATCTGAAATTAAATGAAGGTATATGAAGAGGTGCCATTGTCAATAGAGGTATGCGAAATGGAATTTTCATTCTTAATAAAATAAATTATATTAAAGGGTGGCAAAAGCCTCCCCGTATAAACTATTGACTCTTATTACCTCCAGGAAAGCCTTCCACATTGTTGGTGGCTGCTGCAGCCGGACACTCTGTTATTGTTATGTGATTCAGCCGTCAATGCAAGCCAGGAACACAGGACATTCCTTGTTCAGGAGCAATCAGGACATAGAAAAATAAAATAATTTCCTTGAAAAAAAATAATATCAAAATAATAATAATAACATAATTTTGCCATAAAAATTATTGAACTTGAAATATAAAAAAAAAAAAGTAAAAAGTAGATGAGAATATCAGAAAAAACTGGGTATCCTCCTCTGGAGTGGGAAACCGATGTTTTGTCACCTTAACAAGTTGACCGTTGAGGTTCATATAAATAGTAAATCAATGCAAACCAAGGAACAGAACATCCCCAGGAACATTTTCAGACATTCAGACATCCAGGTTATCCAGACAACATGAAAAAATTAAAATGACACCTTAGAAAAATGATCAATTAACTAAATAATAATAATAATATATAATAATAATAATAATATTAATAAAGACAATAGATGAAAACTAATTTTTTACAAAATTTATTATAACTTGAAATAAATAACATATAACATAGCTTATAAAACTGAAAATGAGAAACCAAAGAGAAAAAGGAAACTGAGTATCATCTCCGGTGTAGAAAGCAATATTTATTGCAGTAGATTTTTTACACTAGGCGGAAGTCAGGGTCCATTCATGTGGTCCAGATCATCTCTCACCCTGGTCACCCCTAATAGGTAGAAAACAAATTCAAAATATCTTCAAATGGGTTTCAAACTTTAATGCACAGCCTCTCTGAGGTTTGCAGACATGATTTAGCATCATTTGCATACCAGAAAAGGAAGGCTTGCTGGGCTTGTCGCTTTGGACTTGGATATTAAATTAAAGATTCAGATTCACCACGTAGATGGTTACGGTGGCGGTGGCGCAGCGGTGGTTTCTAACTATTTATCAGTTGGCGTTCAAGCGGTCTCTGACCTCCTGCATTTGACTGGGGACGTCCCCAGAATATCATACTGACTGTAAACAATGTCTACTACAGATGTGATGTTATGCTGAAATCGAGGGCCCTATACTCTTCTTAAGTTACAGGAGCCCTGGTCTGTAAGTAATTTCATGTTCAAAGCAAACTCAAGTAAGCCAAATGCTCCAGTTTATAAATGAGAGGACTGACGACGGTGGGCTGCACCGGCTTGAAACTGACGCAGAATACTGCACCGACATTTTCGGACCATTTGCAGGTTAACCAGGCGGACCTTGCCCAAAATATAACGGCAAACAATTACAGAGGTAACTGTGTGGAAAGCAACCTCACGCATTATTTTTCGTTTTCTTTTGTTATTTTACGTTATTAATTTTACAAAAATTGTTTTTTAACTATTATTATTTTTAACCTATTTTTTTCTAAGTATTTTCCTTTTTCATGTTCCAGGATGTTCAGGACTGGATGTTCCATGTTTCCCTATTTCCATGTTCCGGATCGACAGCCCGCGGTCATGCGCGAGCTTGCTTCTTCTTCTTCTTCTTCTTCCTTTGCCTTTTACTGCAGGACGGCTAAAAAGGCTAGCAGTAGCAGTTGCATTACCGCTTCTGCGCACCACCACCTGCAGCCTTTCTATTCATTTACCGAATTCTTGGATCTTTAGTGTAATTATCAGGTGACGACGACACAAGCTCTTACACGGTCCATAAAGCCGTAGGTGATAACCGTTAAATGCCTTGTAAACCATTTGAGAATATTGTGTCAGGGCTTAGTATCCTCGCGACCCATTTTAATATATTTTCGTTACGGCAAGTCTACTCATTACTGTCATTTGAATGGACCCTCACTCCTTAAAAGAATGTTCCATGACAAAATATTGTCCTCTCAGGAGATGTTTTCATTATTTTCGTTTTTATGTTATATTAAGTTATTTATTTTGTTATTATAAATTTTACAAAAATTGTTTTCTATCTATTATTTCTTTTTAATTATTATTATTATTATTATTATTATTATTGACGACTATTATTTATTTACATTAATTTTTTTCACTTAAAAAATATTTCTTTTCATGTTCCAGGATGTTCCAGGATGTTCCGGGACATTCCAGGTGGGATGTTCCATATTTCCCGTTTTTATCTGACACTTCTTTCTCGCAATTCAATTTTCTAATAACAATATTCCTAACATTGGTAATGTGTTTTATTAGATTTCTATTGACGCAGAGATTGCCGCTTGGAGAAATCCAAAGAAAAGGTAAGAGTAGTGTTAATTAAGAAAAAATGCATTGATGAAAAATATCAGTCTAGGTTAACAGGATTTTCTTAAAATCGCCCTCAAGCTGCACCGACTCCTCCCACAGCTCTGGGAATGTCAAAGACCTGAAGGGTACTGAATAGAAAAATTGCAGTTGATCCTGGACCTTGGGAAGGGACAGCAAAACGTTTGCGATTAGCGACCAGCGGCGGCCAGGCTATTACTTTAAAAGATCTGATTTGTGAAGTTTGGGGAAAGTTGGTTTTCAAATTATTGTCTGCTTACATCACACACAAGGTTTACCTCTCCGTCCTGTTACGTAAGTCACTGAGATGGTCAGGGACGGTTACAGCCAGTAAAATCGTAAATTCAGTTTAGCAAATTAATTTTGCCAATAACTTCACATTGACCGTTATGCCCAGCGCCTCGTCATTCGCTTTGAGAAGGTCTAGGCCGGTGCCGGCTAATTAATCTGCGGCGCAAATTCAAGTTATCATTTCTGCTAAAAAAAAAAAACCTTTTTTTAATTTTTCACTACTACCCAGCCGACGTAATTCCAACACCTTTACAGTTAGTGTTAAACAAGCAAGCTATCCAAAATAATCGACCAGACCCTTTCAAGGCATCCGCCAGTCCATCGCAAGTAAATGGAACAGAAAACTCAACTTCAGTCAAAGTCGTTAACTTTGCCATAGAGATCTTATAAAAGCGGTGATAACTTGAAATGGTTACGTAATCCACTGTAAGAATGATCTTGTCTGGTACTTAACACACTACCTATATTTTTGAGGGTTCCTTAACGATTCCCACTCAAGTACTATTACTTTAGAAGCTGCTGAATGATTCTTTCTTTTGCTAAATGTTTTCTTTTTGTGAAGCGATTCTTTCCCTAGCACTTCCATGAATGATTTCATCTTTTTACCTAACCAATGCTATTTTATTGATTCCCTGGAGGCTAAGATGTTTTTTTTTGTTTATTACTATGGTCATTTTTTTGGTTCGATTTGATTTTATCAGGTTTATTTTGGATTACAATTTTCGCAGGGCCTCTCAAAAAATTGGATGCAAAGGGATGGTAATTTATATCCTGGCATTAAATTTACTTTTAAAGCAGACTGCTGAGACTGCTCGAAGAAGTTGTTAGCGCTGTAAAAATGA